TGAGGCCCCCACAGCCTTGGCAATGGGGTATGGGCACAGCCAGGGCAGAATCAGACCAGCGGGACTGAGAGCCCTGGGAGAGATCAAGACCAACCTCATTTCCAGAAGGAAATGACCAATGTCCCACAACAAAATAAGCATAGATAGAGGATGAGAACAAAATCTGAATGCAGCGGCTCCTTCCACAGAGAGGCAACGCCTAATGCTACACACTCAGCAGAAGAATGAGACATCATTATCAGGTCCACACTCACCAGGAACCCTGCAAACCCACAGAGGCTAGAAGAGGATGTGGGGGCCAAGCACCCTGCACTCCAGACCTGTTTCTCCCACTAGCCTCCAACCTCTCTGATTCACCTCCTGGCCTCCGCGCCAGCTCCCCTGCTGCCTGCCCACTGCACAGGGCCTCCCTCTGCCTGCTCTTCTTGTCACTCTCCACAGCCTGCACTTACTCCCAAGACTTCAGCAACCACCTCCACACCTCACCTCCAGAACGCCTACCTGACCCCACCAACCCCTTGCCTGAGCTCTAACTACCTCCTTCTAGTGCCTGAGTGGGTGACTCCACTTCCACCAGGTCAAACTTACCGTATTATTTTTGACCCTGCCCACCCTCCAAGTCTACTCCAAATCCATTATTCTCAACCTCTGTTAAAGGTACTTCCATCTACCCTGGTTTCCTCAACCCCCACCTCACCCTTCCCAATTAACAGACAATATCCTGTCCCTAGCGTCTGATGACTCCTTCCATCACCACCAGATTTACCTATCTTGGAAAGAACGCCTTCTTAAATTCGAGGATAAAACTATAAAGGAAAAGAGAAATTTAACTGCATTCGTATTTAAAACTACCATATGAAAAAGAAAAACCACCATACATAGAATTAAAAGGCAAGTGGGGGAAAAAATATCTGCAATATATGACAGACATCAGATTAATACCTAGAGCAGGGCTGGCAAACTATGGTTCCAAGAGCAAATCACGTCAGCTGCCTGCTTTTGTAAATAAAGTTTTATTGGAACACAGCCATACCCATTAGTCTATGTATTGCCTACAGCTGCTTTGGGGCTAAGGTGCCAAAGTTGCACCATTATCACAGAGACCATAAGGCCCACAAAGACTAAAATATTTACTATCTGGCCTTTTACAAAAAAAGTTTGTGGACACCTGATCTAAAGCATATACAGAAATACGTATATCCCACAAATCAGTGGGAGAAAAAACTATTCCAACAGAAAAATGGGCAAAACAATATGAACAGGCAATCCACAAAAGAAACAAAATTACTCAAGTATTACAAAAAGAGGGCCAGGCAGGCACAGGTGGCTCACATCTGTAATCCTAGCACTCTGGGAGGCCGAGGCGGGAAGATGGGTTGAGCTCAAGAGTTCGAGACCAGCCTGAGCAAGAGTGAGACCCCCGTCCCTACCAAAAAGAAGTTAAAAACCCAGCTGGGCGATGCTGGGAGTGCCTGTAGTCCCAGCTACTCAGGACGCTGAGGCAGAAAGATCGTTTGAGAGGAGCTGGAGGTTGCAGAGAACTACAACGATGCCCCTGCACTCTACCCAGGGCGACAGAATGAGACTGTGTGTCAACAAAAACAAGACAACTGAACACCCCTCCTCACAACCCCTCACTCCTTCATATTAAATAATTTTTTTAAAAAAAGTATTATAAAAAGAGGCTTACCCTCACTGGTAATTAGGGAAATTATTAAAGAATTAAATCATTTGATAATATCCAGTGCTGGAAATGTTATGACACAGTCTTTTTTTGGAAGGCAATGTGGTGATATCTGTAAAAAAAAAAATTTAATGCGCTTAATGTCAACCCAACCGTTCTATTTTTAGGTATCTGCCCTCAGAGAAATACTTGCAATCCTGCACGCACGCACACACTCAGAAGCATTTATAAAGCTGTTTGCTGAAGCATTCACAACAAAATCCCTAAGTAACCTTCATGTTCATCAATAAGGGAATAGGTTAAATTATGGTACATCCCTAGCAGTCCAATATGCAAAACAATTTGGGTATACTTACATGTAACACCATGAAAAGAGCTCTAAGACATATTGTTAAGCAGAAAAAAATACACTGCAGAGCAAATACATGCACACAGTTCGGGTTAAAGAAGGTGTTAACTGTACATCTGAGTCCATATGTCTAAGAGAAACGCACAGTACTGAAGGATAAATGCACTCCATGAACACGGGCCTGGCACTGGAGGGTGGAGTGACAAGTAATAAGGGATGGTCGCTTATTGCTTATCCCAGATCACGCTGAGCTCCCACGGTGAGGAAGAAACAAGAACTCCTCTGCTCTAAGCCAGCAGTCTCAAAGGACCTTCTGCAACATGACCACCCCTGACATTACTGTCCTTATCACATGCTCATGCAGTGGCCATTGCAGACCCTGAATAGGAGTAGGGGAAAGAAGGGTGGCTTATGAATCCTGGCTCTGTCCCTGAACTGGACAAGTCGCTTCCCTTCTCTGGGTTTCAGTCTTCTCACCGGTAAAAAGGAAGTGGTTACATTAGCCAATCGATCTCCAAGTCCCCTTCCAGTTCTGATGCCACAAAACAGTCCCTGGAAGAGGTTTTTGTACTTCTGTAGGGGAAAAACAAACAAAACCCACAGCTGCAGAAATACAACTCAAATCAGAAGGCTCAGAGAAATGACTGCTCCTGAGAAGATGACACCCCAAGAGCAAAAGCTGAGGCTGCTCATGCTCACCGCCTACACCACCCCTCAGTGTCCTCACCTATGAAAAGAGGGGGTGGTCTCAATGATTGCTGATGTATCTCACAGCTCTGATGGTCTAAAATAAGCTCAGGGCAGGGAGGGGCAGCAGGAAGCAGGGGCTTGAGGGAGACCAAGGGGAACCAATTGGCTGAGGTTTTCTAATGGAGCCCTAAGGATGAGAGAGCCTGCGGGAGGGCCGGATGCAGAGAGCAGCAGAGAAGGCTGTTGGCAACAGCCCTGAATCTCCCTCCTCTCTTTTCAAGAGCAGTTTCTTCCTGAAAGATCCCAGGAGGTAGAAGGCTAGGCTAATCTCTCGCAGCACAAATAACCCCACTTATTATTTCAGAAACTACCATTCCAATTGTGCCCTGGAGGTCTCAGGCCTGTTTTCAAAACCCACAATTCAACTTCGAATACAGTGAAAGAGTAAGTATTTTAAGTTTGCCTGCCTGCTTGAATGTAATTAATAATCAACAGATCTTTTTTAAAAAAAATCTTAACAGAGTCTACTCAAACAGGCAGATTCCATTCCAGTTTATCTAAGCTGAAGGATCAGAGAACAGCCCCTGTGAGGTGTAAATTTACCAATTTTGGCAGTTGCACAGAATACCCGGGAAACTAAAAAAACCTCTCTCAGAACAACCTTTGCCTTTTCTGTGGGCCCTTTTCTGGTTTTTGTTTGTGAAATTGTAAGAGAAAAAAGCTTAATAAAATATCATTTATTTCTTTTCACAATAGCCAAGTGAAGGAGGTAAACCAGGGATCACTAGTTTCAACTCACAGATAAGGAAATTAAAATATACAGAGGTAAAGGAACTTGCTCAAGGTCACACAGCTAAAAGTGACAGCCAAGACTAGAAGCAAAGTCTTCTGATTCCTCCTCACCACATAAATTGTTTCCCAGAAAAAAGCATCCAGCCAGGAAGAGGGAAACAAGTTCTTCTCCCTTAAATTCTACCCCCTGCACTACAGAACACCTTCCAAAGAAACTGAGTTCTGTTCTTCCCAAGCTGATCTATCTCTAAGGCCCTTGGTATCCTAACAATCCATGACTTTGTGGCCTTGAGTATTTGGTCTAGCTTTTTGGTTTTAGATGAAGTCTCTTCCTGGTGGTTGGAAATCTGACCTCAGAGAAAGGCACTGTGTCCCAGGCCATAACCCCTGCCCTACCACCCCACTCTGGTCTGCCATGTAAACAAATCAAACCCTGTGTGCACTTAAGTGGCATTAAAAACAACCAGGTCGGTTCACTTCAAAGAAATGTTTTCCATCTAAGGGGTCCTTCTGTGAAAGGAGTGGCTACAACTAGGTCACACTGGACTGGAATGTGAAGGCAGCTCCCCTGGCCTCATCCAGGTTAAAAGAAGCTCTGAAGGGGATGGAGATGGGGGTTGGGGGGAGCCAAGGAGGGTACACAGGCACATCCCAAGGAGGTGCAAACAAGGCTTGGAATCCTGGAACACTAGGAGCTCAGAGGGCAAACAGTGCAGGGGTTCCCAAGAGCCAGTGGGAACTGTCCCTCTTGGGGACCTTTTACCAGCACAAATTCCCCATCTCCTAAATCACTCCAGAGTGGGTCCCTGGGACTCTGATTTTAATGACTGGGACTCCGATGCAGGTTTGGGAGCTACTAGTCTAAAGCCCTCATTTGACAGGTAAGACTGGGAGAAGGCCCACAGGTCTCACTCCTCCACCAGAGAGCAGAGAACTCGGAAAGCAGGGTCAGGAGAGCAGCCCCTAGCTCTCTCTCTTCAACCAAAGCCTTCCAGCTTAAGTTCAAGAGCAAGACCCTCCTCCCCACACTTGGAGACCCTCCACCTCTTCCAGTCTCTGACAGTGACAACGGTTTAGAAACAGCAGGCTGGCTCCACCGGACGGAAGCCCGTAGTCCACACAGAAAATCCCCCTGCCTGGGCCACTCTGGATAGACAAGTCGAAATCTCATCCCAAGACAGACTCTGAGGGGGGTCCTGCCAAGCAGCAAGCAATCCCCAAGCGCTTTGTTCCTACTAAGAGAAACCAGGCATTTTTGAGTCACCCAAAAAGCATGAATCACACGGCAGGGCTATGGGAACGGGAAAGGATGTTATTTTTCGGCATACTTGAGGATTTTCCCTTTGTCCCGGCTCTATCAATACACTTCCCGTCCCCAATCCCCGTCCCTCCCCCAGGACTCACGCACGTTTCTCCGCTCCGCGTCAGTATCCCCGTAGCCTCCGGCGGCGCCCCCGCCCCGCCGCGGTCCCGCCGCCCGCTCACCTGCGTCAGGTCCTCGTCGTTGAGCAGATGCGACTCGCGGGGCTTGAAGCAGTTCTGACACTTGCTCTTGTTGAAGATGTTGGCCTGGAATTTCCTGCACGGGTTCTCCTTGGCCGCCGACATGGTCGGCGCGGCGGCGGCGGCGCTCCGGGCGGGCTCGGGCTCAGCGCGGTCGCCGCCGCATCCCCCGCCGGCCCCGCCGCAAGCCCGGCCCGCTCCCCCAGCGGCGGCTCGCTGCACGCGCCGAGGCTCCTGCGCCGCCCGGGCCTCAAAGCACGCGCGACGCCCCGCG